GCCTCCTGGGGGGACCCTGTGGCCCTGCGCCCCGCGAGACCCAGCACCCTGTCCCCCCCAGACCTCCAGACCCGGGTCCTCAGCGATCCCCTCAAGCACGCGGACTTCTTCAACGTCAAGGAGCTGTTCTCCGTGAGGAGCCTCTTCGACGCCCGCGTGCACCTGGGACACAAAGCCGGCTGTCGGCACAGGTGGGCGCGAGCGGGGGACCCTCTGCCCCGGTCCTGGGTGCAGGTTCACGTGTCAGCTTGAGGACAACCCCTTCCTCTTCAGATGGGGTCCCTGCGCCCCAGGAGAGGCCGGGGGGGTCCTCGGACTCAGCTTGTATCCAAAGGGGGTGCCGCGGCCTGACTCCCCAGCAGCGGTGGACATGAGGTGGGGGCCCTGGGGACGTCCGTACCGCGAAGGGTGATACTTTGGCCACTCGGGGCACTGTCACGTGGGTGCTGGGAGGGAGCATCCTGGGCCCCTGAGAGGAGGGCCCCACGGGCAGGAGGGGCATGAGGGCCGCTGCACAGTGGAAGCTGCGGAGCAGCCTGGGTGGGGGGCGAGGAGACGGGGCCTGTGGGCCTTGGGCACAGTCTGTTGAGAGGAAGGGACAGAGCCAGGTGGGCGTGAGCGCAAGTGGAGCTGAGGGGTGACATCTGTCCCGCCCACTGGCCCTCTGCCCTCGGGGCTCCCTCCCAGGCCTGGCTGCTCCCGTCCCGACCCCTCGCACTGCAGCCTGGGCCCCTCCTTGTTCTGCTGGCCCCTTGGCCCATCCCGGAAGGACCTCGGCCATAAAACAATGACAGCCCGGCCGGCGGGGCTCCGTGGTTGAGCGTAGACCTGTGAACCAGGAGGTCAGGGTTGGATTCCCGGTCAGGGCACAGGCCTTGATCCCCAGTGTGGGGCATGCAGGAGGCAGCCTGTCCATGACTCCTCACTGATGTTTCCATCCCTCTCCCTCTCCCGTCTCTGAAATCTGTAAAATTTTTAAAAAGAACAAAAGTGACAGAAGTGGCTGCGACGTGAACAGCAGAGAGCGGGGCACGCTCTTGTGTTCAAACGTCCAGACAGCCAAGGAGGATGAGCTGTTAGGGTCCCCGGGGGACGGGGTGCAGGTTCCGCAGCCACGCCACCTGCCCAGCCAGCACGCACGGGAAGGGTCCTCACTGTGTGTCGTCGCTGGGAGGGGGGCCCCCACAGGAGAGGGGGGCCCTGCTCACTCGCGGGGCGCGGGGGGGGGTCTCCCGCAGGTTCATGGAGCCCTACATCTTCGGGAGCCGCCTGGACCAGGACATCATCGACCTGGAGCAGACGGCCGTGCACCTGCAGCTGGCCTTGAACTTCACGGCCCACATGGCCTACCGCAAGGGCATCATCCTGTTTGTGAGCCGCCATCGGCAGTTCTCCTACCTCATCGAGAACACGGCGCGGGACTGTGGCGAGTACGCCCACACCCGCTACTTCAAGGGCGGCCTGCTGACCAACGCGCCACTCCTGCTGGGCCCCGGCGTCCGCCTGCCCGACCTCATCATCTTCCTGCACACGCTCAACAACGTGTTCGAGCCCCACGTGGCCGTGCGGGACGCCGCCAAGATGAACATCCCCACCGTGGGCATCGTGGACACCAACTGCAACCCCTGCCTGGTCACCTACCCCGTGCCCGGCAACGACGACTCGCCGCCGGCCGTGCAGCTCTTCTGCAGGCTGTTCCAGACCGTCATCAGCCGGGCCAAGGAGAAGCGCCGGCAGGTCGAGGCCCTGTACCGGCTGCAGGGCCAGGAGGGGGCCGAGGGCCGGGGTCCTGCCAGCCCTGCTCTCCCAGGAACACAGGCCTCGCTGGACGCAGGTCCTTCACTCTGATGGGTCCACCCTCCTCCCAAATAAAATCAGCAGCCGAGCCTGGTCCCGAGTTTGAGTCATCCCAGCCGGGCGGCCCGCTATGGTTGCCGTTCTGGCAGCGCCTCCCGTGGCCCACGGGCTCGCAGGTGCAGAGGACGAGCAGGGACCCGCGGGAAGCACGCTTGTCCGGGACTCTGCTTCCGCCCTGAGATCCGCCCTCTGTGTGTGAGGCTCTCACACCGGGCAGCCTGTTTCCTGCACCCGAGTGGCCCTTGGCTGGGCTGTTGGTCACACGAGGTTGCAGGCGAGTCCCCCACTGGGTGGGCAGACAGCACGATCCCGGTGTAACAAGCTTGGGTCCGGCAGCACGTGGCTGGGAGCCCTTTTCAGCAGCGTGGTCCGTGGACAGCCGTCTGTGTGGCACTTCCCGGCTGTCCCCCAGGCCCCGGGTCACCAAGGTCTCTGCCCTCTGGGTCCTTGGGCCTTGAGACAGGCAGGCACATGGACGTGTCGCTTGGGCAGGGCAACAGGGGCGCCTGCCCTCGGGCCACCGTCAGTGCTGGGCTCAGGCCCTCATGCTGTCCCTCCCCCGGGGTCGGGACGGGACCCCCGGCCGCACTTGTATCCCCAGGATGGGCGGGCCCTCTGTCCTGCCTGCCTCCTCAGGGTCAGCACCTACCCAGGTGCGGCCCGTCTGCCAGGGAGTGAGCAGCAGGGTCTGGGACAGGGTAACCCACAGTGGCGGCTCCGTGCCCCCCTCTGCCAGCCCTGCCCACTCGGCACCTTCCCAAACTGTAGCTGAGCGTGTGTGTGTGTGTGTGTGTGTGTGCACGTGTGTGAGGCTGAATTTCCTTCTTCCCTCCCTGACCTTACCTCCGAGCACAAACCCTAAGAGGCGTCAACGACAGTTAACGTCACACAAGTGCCTAAGCGACAGGCTGCCCAAGGGCGTGAGCGCCACCGGACCCGGCAGCCTCCGGACAGTGTGTTCTGGTCGTACACAGGACGGCTGCTCCGGGTCTTGAATATTGACTGTGGCTCGAGGACACGGGTGGTGACACGAGTGCTGGTTTCGCCAGGCTGGCTGTGCCATCTGCGTGTGGTGGGAATGAGTCTGAAGGAGTGAGTGCAGGTGTGGGCAGCGTGCACGGCCAGGTTCAGTGACCCTGAGGGGCCGGTGAAGGACGGAGGAAAGACGGACGAGAGAAGAAAGCTGGGCTGGGTGGGACGCCGTCCTCTCGGATGGAGAGACAGCGCCACGGCCTGCAAGCCGAGTTTTTATTTTATCGGATTCCACGAGGCAAAGCAAGGGCATGGTTACAATTCGTGGGTTTCGGGAGAGACAGCCCCACGGCCTGCAAGCCGAGTTTTTTATCGGATTCCACGAGGCAAAGCAAGGGCGTGGTTACAATTCGCGGTTACAATCCACTCAGTTACACGCACCTGGTCAAGCTTTGTTGACTTGCTGCACCTCCGCAGCCCACATCACTCAGCCACGTGGGACCACAGGTTCGGACCATAAGGGCAAGCTCACAGCCACAGCCTTTGGCTATCATTGTGCTGGGACCTGCCCATGGCTTTGCCTCGAGAGGATCTGCCCTCTCACTGGTCCAAGGCTTGAACCTGTCTGAACGCTGCAGCCGCTCTCACACCCCTGTCCCTGTAGAATCGCCGGGACCTACGGCCTCAGAAGCGCGGCGCCAGAGGGTGCCCGCCGCCAGGGCCCGTCCACCCGGAGCAGCCCAGCACACGGCCCTGTGGGCACTGCCAAGGGCTCTGGGCAAAGCCTGGGTTGACACTGCCCAACTGGACACACGAGTGACCCTCAAAGCCCTCTGACCTGTACCCGCCAAACGGCAGAACAGAAAGCTCCCTCGAGAGGCGGGCCACACGGTCAGCACACGCCTCCTGCAACAGAAAAGCGGGTGCATGAGGCCTCAGCAAATGCCCGCCCCCACCAGTGTTTACAGAACGCGGCTCCGTGGCAGGGAGGCCTGCCCAGGATGCCCCCCCTGGCCCGGCCAGCGTGGCTTGACCTATGAGCCAGAAGGTCATGGTTCGATTCCCAGTCAGGCACATGCCCAGGTTGCGGGCTTGATCCCCAGTATGGGTTGTGCAGGAGGCAGCCAATCAATGATGTTTCTCTCCCATTGATGTTTCTCTCTCTGTCCCTCTCCCTCCCTCTCTATAAAAATCAATCAAAACATACAGTGGGGCCTTGACTTACAAGTGTCCTGACAAGTTTTTTGAGATACCAGCTATCCCTTGGCCGATTTTTGCATTGAGTTGATAGAGTAATTTGAGTTAACGAGCTCCTTAACGAGCTCAGTCTTGAAACGAATTAAACTCGTAAGTCAAGGCCCCACTGTATTTAAAAGCCCTAGCCGGTTTGGCTCGGTGGATAGAGCATCGGCCTGCAGACTGAAGGGTCCCAGGGTCGATTTCGGTCAAGGGCACATGCCTGGGTTTCAGGCTCGGTCCCCAGTGGGGGGCCTGCAGGAGGCAGCCACCAATGATTCTCTCTCATCATGGATGTTTCTATCTCCCTCTTCCTCTCTGAAATCAATAAAAATAAATTTAAAAAATAGGATTTGAGCCCTAGCCAGTTTGACTCAGTGGATAGAGCATGGGCCACAGACTGAAAGTCCCAGGTTCGATTCCCAGTCAAGGACACATACCTGGGTTGCAGACTCCATCCCCAGCCGTGATCAGCCTGTTCGGGAGGCAACCAATCGATGCTTCTCTCTGTGTGTCTCTCCCTCCTCCCTTCCACTCTCTCTAAATATCAATGGAAAAGATACCCTCTGGTGAGGATTAACAATAAACAAACGAACAGGCCTGGCAGTGAATGGCGTTCCTGAGCGTGGCTCACTGGGCAGCAGGCAGGCCCCCTCAGGTGCACACATCCTCCCGAGACCAAGGAGTGTCCAAGGTCACCGAGGAACCGTGGCGACGGGAGGAGCGGCACGGGGCAGTGAGGGGGGGCGGGGGCTCTGCTCCATGATCAGCTCCCCCATTCACCACCTGCCACGGCTGCAGGAGCATCGGACTGAAGGCCAGCAGCTGTCAGCACTCACGTCCACTGTCCCAGCCCCACTTCCCCACGAGGAGGCTGAGGCCCAGGAGGGAGCCGACTGGCCCCAGAGCATGCTGGGAGCTTCTCTGGCGTCTGATCCCGGGCCCTTTCTCATTGGGAACCCGAGAAACCCCCTCCCTCTGCCCAAAACGGGGTGCTCACCACATACGACACGTTCACCGAAAAGTCCCCCGTGACCCACGGCGTGGCCCTCAGGCCAAGTGAAGATACTGACTTTCCGTGGGGGGTGGGGGGGGAGTTCCCAGACGGTTTCTTTGTGTTTTTTTTGTTTGTTTGTTTAGTGAATCCTCACTTGAGTATATTTTACTTTTAGGGAGACAGAGAGAAACATCGATGCGAGAGAGGAACATCAATTGGGTGCCTCCAGCACGAGCCCTGACCAGGGCCGGGGCGGGGAGGAGCTTGCAACGAAGTGTATGTGCCCTTCACCAGAACCGAACCCAGGACTCTTTGGTCCGCAGGCCTATGCTCTATCTACTGAGCCATACCGGCTAGGGCTTCACTAAATTTTTTACATATATTATCCCACATTTAATCACAATAGCCATCCAATGTGTTAAATATGGTCATTCCCATTTTATAGGTAAGGAAATTTATTAATTTGCCTATGGCAGCAACTTTCAAACTTTTCCATTTCACAGCACACAAGGAGAAGGGACGCAGGTGGGCGTCTGCCACCGGGCGCCCAGTGGGGGCGGGGTCAATGGCGGCAGCGTGGCGCTCCTGTGGTGACCTGGGTCAGCTCTCCCTGCAGGGCCGCTCGGCACAGGGTCCCTGTCCCAGGGCGGAGGGGACAGGGTACAGCTGGTCTTGGAGCGGGCGTCCTGGTCCCCCGGAGGCAGCAGGCAGG